CTTTTTGAATGCATCATTTGTTGTAACAATTTCAATTGTTAACCTTTTCACATCTATTTTCTTTTAGTTCTATTGTCTGGCTTGTACCACGTAAGCAGTTTATTCATTCATGAAAACCAACACATCATAGAGGAACATATAACTGCACAGTGTGAAATTGTGCAACCTGAACACATAGATAAACAAGCCTTTTTTCTCCTCCAAGTTTGTTGTCCAAACAAGACATGAACTTTCAAATATGCATTTAGAACTACAGTATAAAAAATAAATCAATCACTGGAAAATAATGTTCCTAAACTATCCTTTAACCAGTTACCTTTGTAATTAAGATATAAATAACAATACTTGTCATAAGACAAAGTACTTGTTGTCTCAGCTGGCCTGAAACTTGTCATCTATAATGGATATGGTGGGCATGGTATGGTTCAACTTATACATTCTTCTACTTGAAAAACCCTAAGGGGTTAAGTAAAGAATGTAGTGATAAAAAATATGATAGGTCTAATACTAATGTCTTATGACAAGTATAATTAATCTATAATCATGCTTTACCAGCTTAGAAAAGGCATTCACACAATAACAACTGCTGTTAAGCAACAAATAGGTTAAAAAATTCCAATAACTTTGTTTGCATGCATATCAATTACTTCCTCTTGACTGACTGCCACCAAATTCAAAATGTCAGTTACAAGTTTGATGAAGGAAACAAAAGCTCTTTTTACTGGCTATAAACATGTGCATAAAGTAATAAAACATGGTTCTGAAAACTACCTGGAAAGTTAAGGATAAATATTGATATCTCAGCAACTGGAAGGGTCAGGACATTAAAACTGTACATGATCTTGAGTTTTTATTAGTTAAACACTGTAAAAGCTATACTATTGAAGTTATACAAACTAAAAAGGAGAACTGAGACCACAAACATCATATGACAACACAAATGAAGATTGTTTTTTTTTTTAAATTAAGAAATTAATACTTAGATAATATACAAATTTAATAATAGACTATATTATGATGGCAGGTTTATTGACATACATTGATTAAAAAGTTTTTAAATTAAATTTTGAATGTAACTGTAAAACATTGTGGCATGAGCAATGGTGACCAACCCACTGGCACTGTGTTAATAGAATCACAAAATACAGTAGAATACATGTGTATGACTGCCAATTAATTAATATAAACATCAAATACATCTTACAACAACTGCTTTCTAACTGGTCTGTGGTTAAAATGTTGCTGTTCGGTGAAAGTGATCAATATAAATTATCCTAAAAGTGCAAAATCTGTAAAATAAATCTGAAAGTAAAAGTATTGAATGTATTGCACTTTATGAATTTTTGTGTAATTAATGGCATTCAAAAAGATATTTCATTGCATATTAAATATACACTTACATCTTGTTCTCAAAAGCCATATCATAAGTGTGTGTCAAGGAAAGGCTGATGGAGTACAATAAGATTAAAAATTAAAAGCTGATGCACAAAATTACACAGATGATTGTGCAAGTTCCCAGTGTTGAAAAGAATGGGAATCACCATTTTCAATACTTTAAAACAGCCAAAAGTAGATCAAAACTTTCATGGCAGAAAATAATCTAAGAAATATATAACATAAGTGCACATACATGATGATCATTTGTATTCAAAATTTTACATTCTACTGTAAAAAACTGTATCAACTTATACATGCAACAATCTGATTCTTCTCCTCCTAGCAATAACTAAGTGTGATCACAAACACCAAAAGTACTAATTCTCTTTCAAATGGACTACGTTTCTGATTCTAGTCAGTAACGTTTACGACAGAGAAGCATGGATCAACTATATGCATCTAAGTAACATTATTTTCTCAATGACTATATCTATATTAAACATATATAAACAACTATCCCCATGTTCCTACCCCCAGTGGTGTAAAAACTTATTACCCTAAAACTCTGAACAACCACAATTTCATACATAATACCCTGAAGCAATTGTGTTTCTGTTTGCATAAATTTACGAGTATGTGTGTGTAAAATCTAACTCTACACAAATTATCTAAGAGTTCTAAAAATACTGCCTGGCTAATCCACCCTAAGCCTCATATATACACACACACACACACACACACATATATACACGGCTCACTGAATAACTAGTAAATTAAAATATTGAATCATATAATTTTTCATTCATACCACTTTATAATATAATCAAGTCATTATTTGGTGTGGGATTAAAATAGTTATTTTGCCTTTTCCTTGAATATGTTGAAAAAGTGCAAGGTGTTCAAATATCTGACTGCCATAAGGGTGTTTTGATTTCATCAGTATATATTTGGACTGGATAACTTACCCAGAGATTTTATGTTTTCATACATTCTGAATTAAATTATATTATTTTAAACGCACCAGGAATATCAGTATATCACATATGTAGACTGGTTAACTTGCAAAAAGATTTTACAAACAACATAATTTTAATTTTGTAATACTATGGATGAAGCCACCATTTTGAATCTATACCGGGGGCAAATTCTCATGTAGCAATATTTTTTATCCATTTAGCCCTGCCAGTTTTTTAACTATGTAGTTGATTACAAATGTAAATGCACTAATTACACTTAGTGTACCATTATTTTACTAATTTTTGCTAAGTCTTACTTTGTAATTTTTGTTGCTTCTCAATATTTTGTATAAATTTCACTTTTTTTTCCCTCCAATAAATTGAATTTGAAACTTTTTTACAGAATGCTTGTTTCGGTTTATTGACTGAAACTATACTAATATCCGAAATTTAACCAAATATATTATAATTTGCTGCTACAGTAGATTAAACTAGCTGTAGAGTGGTTGTAAACAAATTCTTTAAGTACTAGATTATAATGACTAAATTATTACACTGCAGTTATATACATGACCAGAGTTACAGGTTTGAGACAAGCCAGTGATTGTCATAACTTCTATTGGAACACAAGTTCAGGAAAGTGAGAGGTGTGGTGTCACAAAGATAATATATAATGTAGAAAAAGTAAATTTAGTTTATTTAACACTTAAGAATACAGTTGTTCTAATTACACATAATATAACACAAAATGTAACCAATAATTTTTACACTTTATTAAAAATTAAAGAATCAAATCAAATTTGAAACATAACACAATGTAAAAAATCCAGTAAATTTACATTCTACTTAACACTAAAGTAGCCCAAGAGTTGGTAGTGGATGCTATTGGCCAATTGCTTTCCCATGAGTTGACAGAAACCCTTAGTAGCCTTTACCAGAACCCATGGCTGACATGTAGATATGCTGTGCATTATGTTTGGTGTGGGGGATAGGTTAGCTCATTGGATAGAAAACTGGGTGGATGGAAGAAAACAAAGGGTTGTTATAAATGGAATTCAATCCAACTGAATTAATGTCACAAATGGGGTACCTCAGGGCTCAGTCACAGTGTTAGGTCCTTTGCTCTTTTTGATTTACATCAATGACAAAGATCAACAAATTGTTAATAGATCATTTAAATTTTTCTGATGACAAAGTTTTAGGTGTTACTGCTTCTTTACAAAGGGATTTGGATTATTTGCACATGGGATATTAATTTAAATTATGAGTATAATTTCAATGGAAATAACCTTAACACTGTCATGGAAGAAAATAATCTTGGTGTTCTAGCTGATCATTCTCTTAAGCCATCTACATAATGTGCTGTTGTTAGTGGCAGGGTAAATAGGATTTTAGGTTGTATCTACAAAAATGGTGAATACAAGTCTAAAGAGGTTATAATTTCATTGCACAGGTCATTGGTTGGGCCACACTTTGAGTATTATGTTCAGTCTTGAGCTCCTTATCTTAAGAAGAACATTGAAATGTTGGAAAGGGTTCAGAAGAGGGCTACTAGGATGACACCTGGAATGGAAAGGTTGACATACAAGGACAGTTTAAGATATCTGTAATTTTCTTCTCTTGAGAAAAGAAAAGTTAGAGAGGATCTGACTGAGGTGTTTAAGATTGTTAAGAGAATGGACAGTGCTAATACATCACCTTTTTTGTACTTAACAGTAAGAATGGTAGGACTAGGAAACACAAATATCCATTTTGGCAGGGTAAGAGTAATCTTTAGATAATGGTTGGTTTTGAGTGTTTTATTTTAATTTTAAAGTATATTTTAGTGGATGTCCTTAAGTTATATGTAGATACACCTAAGACCCTCAAATCATGAGGCAACCCTCCAATCACCAAACCAAGTCAACCCAAAGCGAAACAAATTTCAGTTAATCAAAAAATAATAATGAGTATTTAAGAAATCATAATGACAATATTTCTATTATTTGGATAGTTAAAATAATCAAAAATAGCAATAATTGTTAACACTAATTGTCATTATTTACATGACATTAGTTAATTTAATCATAATTTCTATTAACAGATTATTTTACTAATTGATGCACATATATAACTATATCTTTAATCAAGTTAACTGCCCAGCACTAATCACTAGTAAATTATGTGATGTTTTACATTTACAGCTACAAATGGCCTGAAAGATATTTAAAGCTATAAAAAAATCAGCAATAAATAAATAAATATATGTATATATATATAGTTATGTGTGAAAAACACTGTTCAAGTCAGAAAACAGTTATCACATTGTAAACCTTTATAAACTAAATATTTCCTTTTTTATATTTTAAAAACAAGTAATCCATTTCATGACCTGTTTAGAATTCAAACAGGATATATGTTAAGAATTAACTCTTTTTTTTTTCCTTTCCCTTATAGGGTATTGAATAATATAAAAACAAAAATGATCAAATGTTCTTTTTTTTATTAATTAATTATCTTCCAAACATTTATTCTTCACAAATAACTTAAGTCTTTCTTGAATTTTATGGCATTTATTTGAAGAACTTGTTAAATTAGATCTATTAGTAGACATCATAATATTTTTTATTTACAGCTGTAGAAACTATTACTTTCCATTCTATCCTTTAATAATACATATTACAATACCTTTCTGATTCCATGTATTCTTCATCCTCTTCCTCATCATCATCATCAGAGCTTTCAGGATCTCCACTTGAAAGCTGCTGACCTTTATCTACACTGGAGTCACAGCCAGATCCCCCTGCCTCATTATTTGTGGTAGTGCATGAGCTACCTTCATCTTCTGGATCATTTAACTTAGGCTTAGTGTCACCATTAGAGCTGCTGCCAACAGAACCATTACCAGTGATATTTGTGCTACTACTACAAGTCACTTCATTATCTCCACAATCATCTGTTTTATTAACTTTTAATTCTGATGTCCAATCTTTCCCAGAAGGAGATTTCTTAGATGTAGAGTTTCCAGTTTCTTTGCTGTCCAGCTCATCTACTGAAGATGAGGGACCATTACATTTACTTTGAGCTTCATTATTAGTTCCTACATCTACAATATTGGCTTTCTTAGGAGATTCCCCAATGCTATCACATTCAGAACTACCAACTTTATCTTCTCCATTAAACAACTTATTTTTGAAATCCATATCTATTTTGTTAATTTTCTTCTCTCCTTCTCCATCTGATGATGAAACTCTGTTTTCAATTTCAGTTGATGAGGTATCTTTCGAGTTACATTCAGGTTCTTCCTGATCAATGGAGTTATCTGGAGGGTCATCTTCTTCATCTGAAGAAGACTTCTTAGCACGTAACATAGGGGAACGTGGTTTATCATGGCTAATTCTTTTTACTTGTGGTGTTAACCTAAGTGGTAGACTTTTATAACGAGCAAGAAGGTCCTCCAGGGGCATTACTGCTTCTTCATGTAAGGCTTCTGTGTCATCTGGCTCTTAGGTACAAAATAAAAAATACTATAATGAATGAGAATCTTTGATTTCTTCAAAATTCATAAAACACATATAATTACTTAAGCATGAAAACTAGATAAAGTTATTAATTAAATCACTATAATCTCTTTTTTCTGTTTATAAAGATTCTCTTAAAAGTCATGTGAAATTAACACCTTAAAAATAAAGAACATTGTTAACACAAGAATCCATCACTCAAATTTAACAAAATTAATTCTTTTAATTACTCGGTGCTCAATTATGGCTATGACTAACATTTAATGATGTAAAAATGTGGAAAATTTTACAATTATATGAATTTTCAATACTTTCAGTTTATTTTTTCTAGGAATGTGCTACATTTCTTTTTTGTTTCCAGAACTAATACAAGTCATTTTTGGAGCATTTTAACTTCTTGACTACTTTCACTAACACCTCATTGCAATAGTATACTATAAAAATGGGTTACACATGCTTCTGTAAACCTATACAAGTAAAAACAAAACTTTCTTAAATGAAAAATATGAAATATAATTTAGTTAGTATTATACTTCTTATATACTCAACTATATATAACCAAATACGACAAATATCATACCTAACGTTTATACCAAAACACCATAATGAACTAACATATAAAAATTATTTTCTCCATTAACACAACTACATGAACTACAATTACTGAATGTAGTCTTGAAATTACGCTGGAGGCTATTATATTAACTGAATTATGAGCAATAGAAAACAAAATGCCAAACAGCTCCCAATACAAAATCTGCTGCAAGACTATTATTACAAGTTTTAAACACCCATGAGCATTTCTTTTATAAACTTGTAATCTCCAAATTCTTTATTATGTTAGAATCACCAAGTACTCTGTAAGAGAAAACATCTTGCCCCCCACCCAAATGTTTTTCCTAAATTTCATTAATATGAAAACATTGGTTTGAATTTGGTAAATCTAAATTGAAGAGATATGGGGGGGGGGGGGGGTTTGCTGTAGTTTGTACTGGGCACAGAAACTAAATCATCTGTGTTCTTTGTTCATATTACTGCATGAGTATCTTTGTTTCATTCCATAAAAAAAGCGATTTTAATGGAGTTTCATATTTTTTTCATATTAACTACCTTCATAAATCAGAGCTAAATGTATACATTTACATTATCTAAAATGATTAAATTATATTAGTTATAAAGATAAGAGTAGACTTTTTATCAGTTGGATAACTTTGCTGTTAATTAATGATATTATCAGCCATAATTCTAACAATATCTCATGAGATTTAACCGACCCAGGGATCTTAGGTTATCCTAAGTCCATATACTAAGTTAACAGTATACAAGAATCATCATAATAAAATAATAAATAACAAAGTAAGTATATTAAATATTGAAAAGGACAGTATGTGTCCACACTGTGGTAAAAGTTTCACTTGTTTGTCCAATGTTCACACCTCTCCAAAATCATCCTGTTTTTTCAAAAAATATCAATAATTCTCTCCGACACTTGCTATTGAATTATTTATAACCAACAGAAAGATTCTGCCTTACAAGATTCCTTATGAGGCTAGTTTGTTCAAACACCAGGTTTAACCTCAGTTTCACTATTTGCTGTTGTGGTGATTGGCATAATAAGCTTATGGAATTTATTAAAATTACTTACAGCTTAGTTAGAAAGCCAGCTAAATTACAATAGTTTTAGGACATTCTGTTTTTTGTGTAGCATAATATTTTGGACTAGTAAAATCATTACAAAAAAGTAGACCAATGGTCGTTCATTTACTGATGAAAGTAAAACAGAATCCAGATGAAACTTGTTTTTTATTAATGCTGTTTATTTATTGTTATAAATTAAAATAATATGTAAAAAAAAAGATAAAACTTAAAAAAAAAAGTCTTGTGATACTCTGTCAAAGCATACGCACATTGAAAGGTATGATTGTAATTTGACCGTGGGGTGCTTGTAGCTTGATCGTTTGCTTACAAAAAAAACAACTATCCAGCAGTGATAAAAGATTTTCAGCATAATTTGAAACTGTACAAGTGCAGCTGTATAGAAATAAAACTAAATGAATCCAGATTTAAAAAGTGTATTAGCTTTAGCTGTAAGAATAAATAAGGTGTGACTATTGCAAAATGCAGTCAATCCAGAAAAAGTGTAATTTATGTTCATTTCGTATTTTTCAAATTTTCATTTTACCATACATGACTAATTCCACTATAGTTAGTGTTAGGGTAGAAAATATAAGACATGAAGTATAGTTTTAAGAGTCAGATTTATTCAGCAAATTCTGACAAATCTTTAGCAAAAAATACCTTTTAAATTAAAAATTGCAATGTTTTGTGTACAACATACTGGTAATATTTAGTAAAAGCCTACCAAATTTTGCACAAATACACTTTGTAAATTCAGAATTATAGTAAACATTAATTCTTCAATACAGATATTGGTCCAATGGATCGACCATGTGCACATAAGTTTATAATGACTAATACCTAAAAAGTCTTTAATTATTGATGTTTCTGTATTTTTCTAGTTCTGCCATAAGTGTCAAAAACTAAAAAATAGGTAACAATGTTAAAAGTATAAAAACACCATAAGCTTTTATGCAAGTTGTTGATACAGCCAGAAATTTGGAAAGAACACATTAAAATAGCTAATACTTTTACATTTAAGGCCTAAAAGGAACCGTGAAACACTGAAAGACATACATGTGCTGAAAAATCAATAAATCAAGCAACTTACTAGGATGTGTTTAAGCAGCACGTGATGACAGCCAGACTTTTGTTGTCACTTTTCAGTGCTTCATACCTACAGTGTACATGTAGTAGAGCTAGTCATAATTAAGCTGGAGTCCTATTTGTGTAAATAGGTCAAAGACTTAACGACGTTACATATTGTTAATTTATTAGACTATTATTACTGCATGTTTAGTAACTTCTGATCAACACAGTGAAATGAACAAGCTATTCAGCAATCAGCATTTCCTTTGAGTGAATAATCACATCTACTAAATTTGGACCAACACAGTGAAAGAAGCGAGCTCTTCAGCAATCAGCATTTCCTTTGAGTGAACAACGAATATTAACTTGCTGTAACTTTTTTTTAGTAAAGCAATCCTACCCTGAGTTATCATAGTCATACGTGTAACAAGGATATTCCACTAATCACTCAGCTTAATATATTTACATATATAACATAGAAAATTTTCAGCATAATAATATATACAAGTTCTGGAATAAGAGTTATGTTTTATTAAACCAATAGTAAGGATATAAGATAATACTAAAATATTTCTATAATAATTACTCTTAGAGAGCCTCCAATTTCTGACAAGAAAACAACACAATTACATTTTCTTTTTTTTAAGTAATATTTGACAATTTTTGTCAAAAATAACTGTTTGAAAATAAATGAAAATTAATTGAGCTTTAGCCTTTAGATATAGCTATAGCAATAGGCAAAACAAGTCTTTAATTATCTCAATATTACTTTCTATATGTGTAGGTTGGACTTGTGCATCAAACAAAGAGTAGCAATAGTTGAAATATTGTTTTAAAGTAGTTCAGTTTAAAGATAAGTATTCAACTATCTAAACATAACTTTTTCTGGCATATATTTTTTGCATGCCAAGTAATGTAATACTGGTTGTAGGATGTAACAAGTAAGAAATATATAAAAGCTACATTACTGTTTAGTTAACACATGAAAAAATGACTGTGACTATTTACTTCACCAACAACCACTAAATTACATCCTACACATGCATAAGTTGTGTAAAAGCAGAATGAAGGCATAATATCATGCCAAGCTATCATGCTTTGTGCAAGTTCAGTTGGTATGTGCCTGAAGCTGTACAAGTTTGAGTTATAACAAAGATACTTTAGGTTTTACATCAGTGAATTTTATATATAAAAACAGTGTTTCTATATGATATTGTCTTATCTGTACTGACATGTTTATATACTTAATTACATGAAGATTTAGGTGTTTAAATTAAACCTCAGTTCTTTCTATAAGTTTGTAATATAAAATGTATTACAAATGAAAACAAAGTTGTTAGCTGTTTTGTCTGTGGAAATTATTGCATATCTCCTATGCAAGGAATCTGAACATTCTATAACTTATTTTTTATTCAAACCTTGTTCAATGTTGTTGATATTGTATTTCTTCAAATATTTCATGCATTTATGGATTATATCTAAGGTTATTTAGCCATTCCTTAAGTAAGGTTACTTTTAAGTTCTCTCTAACACCTTTTGTGTAAAACTTTATCAAGTGATTCAATAAGTACTTTTGATTCCAATGAATTTTAAGGACATTCCCAAAACCAAGAGGCCTTTTCCATTAACTGAGTTTGGTAACAATAACTGTAGACATTAAGAAAATGATATTTATAGTTTTAAATTTTGTTTACATATAATGATAAAATTTATATGATTTTTTCACTTTTTATCCTTTTTTGGAGAAAGCTCTAAGTCCCTTAATCAAGAATTCAAGATTGCACAGGCATATTGCAATACAATTATTTTTTTTGGCTGTTTTTATCAGTTTTTTTTTAATTTTTAACACACAAGACAGTTTTGTTATGAATTTGATTGCTCATAAAGGTCATAATTTAAAAAGTATATTGTTTGGTTGTGAACTTTTTTTTTTTGGATGGGCCCATTCTTGATTAACTTGGCACTTGGTGAAAACATTTATAAACTAAGATTCTCTAGATTAAGCCATAAATCAATAGAATAAAAAATTTATATATAAATCATCCTTTTGTTTTCTCTCTCTCTAAGAAATATAAATAAATAAATCATTAAAAAAATCTATACATTTTGGTCATTACACAAAGAAATTCCTGTAAAAAAAGCAAAATCAGACTATACCTGTAACCTAAGTGCCCTTTTACCACAGAAGGATTTTCAGGCTAGAAGGTAAAATATTTTGCTAAAGTTTATTATAAATGATCTGATTAAAACGAAAACAAAAAACACTTGCCAGAATCTGATGCATCACTAACTCCTGCAATATGTTTCAACTCTGCAACAACTTCTGGCTCAGTTAGAGTAGCATCAAACTTTAGAAAGGCATCTTCTAGTGCGTGTGCCATGTTACCATTAGAATACTCTGGAATAGACCGAAGGTATTCTGGAAAGTGCATGGAACAGTACTTAGCTACCTCTGCTCCTATAAAGAAACAAACAAAACAAAGTAAAGAAAAAAAAGTTTCAGTTTAATAGGTATGGTAAGTTCCACTTTTTTTCACTAATCTACCATTCTGCACAACAATCAGGCCATCTCAGTAAGTAAATATCTTATACACACACAAACTCTAGTTCTTTCTGACATTAGTGTTTCTACACTAGACTGAACAACTCCGTAACTACACTTATTGAGTAATTTAATTTTACATTGGATGAAAGCAAATATTCATAATCCTTGAAACCATTTACAGATATAATGTTCCGGTGCGTCAAATAGTAGAAAAAAAAACATACAACTTTATTAAGTGGAGTGAAAAAAATAATCGAACCCTTTATATTTTAAAAATGCCCAAATATGATAAAAAAAATGATGTGGCAAAATACTAGTAGGGGGTCCCACAGAATTATTGTTCCTGGCCACAGAAGTGTACACGAAAAAAACAAAGGAAAAATGTTTATAGTATTATTACACGCTGAGTTTGCACTGTTTATTCCTGGCAACCATACTCACACTAATTGTAAATTAACTGTAATAAAATGTTGATGATCGCTAAACTTTTCCACCACCACAATGTGGCAACCAGCGTGCGAATGTTAGAACCAAAAATAGGGTGTTGACAAGTTGTTGCTTGACCAATAACAGCCAGTGATATATCAAATGATAGCTATCCTCATGTTCTACATTAGTCTGGACAGTTTCTTTGGATGCAGAAGCATTTCATATTTGAAAACACACAAACAAAACTTTCAAACCATCAATAAATACTTTTTTTAGCCATTCAGTTTGAAGAAACAAAGCCATACAATAAAATCTGTAGTGTATATTACATAATGAATAAACTGATATATGTATATATATCTGTCTGCCCAAATCCAAGTAACATCATGCCAAAAAACAGATGATACGTTGGCTTAGCAACAGTAGGCTTCACATCATATCACCGGGCATAAACAGAGAAGACCCCTGGCAACAGTCTGCTTTCGTCATATCATTGGGCATAAACGGATATATTAGCCTGGCAACAGTCTGCTATACATTATATCGTAGTTTAATTTACTTTAAAACCAATGAAAATACATTTTTCCTTAACTTTCATAGGAACATAGGTAAGTTCATGTTTCATTTTTAACATCTGGTTCTTGACAATTTTCATTTCATTTATCAATATCATACAAATTCACATGAATGGGTTTTTTCAGCTGACATATTTTGTTAATACTACATTTTATCTCGCCTTGACACAGGTTTGACACAATGTCTCAGATTACCAGGTAAAGCAATAATTTTATATTAGTCATGGATATTTTATTAGTATTGTTCAAATGAGATGGTTGCATGATGAAAAAGGTCAATTATTAATTTTTTTTCCATTAATTATTAACTACATAACTGAAATTAAATGTGAATTTCAATGGTGTGTAATTTTTTTCTCACTATTTAAAAATCAACAAAACTCGCTACTACTACTACATTAAAAAAATCTGATCATGTTCAACAATTACTTGCTAAACATGCCACAGCAGTGTCTCACCTCCATGGCCATCATAGACAGCAAAAAATGAAGTGTTTTCATCATAATTAATAATACAGTTGTGAGCATCCTGCAAACAAACAAAAATATATATTAAAAAAGGGCAAGAAAATACCTTAAAACTCATACAACAAAACAAATAAGTCACATATCAACATTATGAACATTTCAGCTTGAAAAATTCTCTCAGCCAAACCTAAAAAAATTCCCACTAGGAAACGTTTCTGTTAGGGTGAATTATTAAAGAAATTTTGAAAGATATCTTTTATAAAATACTTTTAAGATTTTTATAAGATTCTGGTAAGGACTATTCAAAATCCCATGTGAGTTTATGTTAGTCTTTTTGAACATTACTAATGGAATACTTGATTGATATCTGGTTTAAAGAAAGAAAGATTTAGAATTGTTTGCCTAGGACTATAAAATAATTAGAAGTGATTGAAGCATTTAATATAATAAACATCTTGGATAATTTTCAAATACATATACAAATGTAGTATTTGGTTTGTTCCAGTGGGGAATTAAGATGTTGGAAATGTGAACTTCAACAAATATCTTTTATTAAAGATCCAAATTCAGAAATGTTCTGATAAAATTAGTCCATTAAATTTGCAAACACATTTGAAGGTCTTCTTTAAAATGTTCCATGTACATGTGTATTATCAGTTCCAGAACATTTATTTGTTGATGCAAGTAGGATCTAATTTAGCATGGATCAGTGATCTACAAAAATAAACTTGAACTATAATTATTAAGCTGGCATTGTTCAATCTTTCAGACAATGATGTTCACAAGTTACACCTTTTAGTTTCTCATTCACATACTAATTATTTAATTGTGCTGTAATTTTGACCATGGTTATAGCAACACCTGGTCACAACTACCACAAATTACAAGGTTCTATCAAACTCGGAATCTCTTTTTCAAGTAGAATCACAATATATATATTGCTATTAAATGATACTCTTTTTAAATATTTGTCTGATAGAAAAGAAAACTCATATATCTTTTGCAAAAAGTAGACATTTCTAAGAATTGTTCCAAATCTCCTACCATTCATGCCTACAATTCAAAACTTTAACCATCACAGACAAAGTCATACAAGCTAACTATAAAAAGTACATAACTATCACACAAGACAAAAATTTCAAAAACAACAAAAAGCAAAATGACATCAGTAACCACATAGATACAGGTATGTAAACCACTAAAACAAGCCTGCATGTATTCTTCTTGATATTTTTTATTCATGACTGACAACTGAATAAGAACTTGTTATAACAAACAAGTCATGGGACTTTATCCTCATTATTTAATTGATTGGTTCTTGATTTAAGAAAATAATAAGCCTTTGATAATGCAACAATTAAGTTTGAGAATGAAGTTCATGATGAATGTTGGTTATAGTACCAAATAGGACTTGATATACTAACTTATGCAAGATGTCACTTAAAAATGGAATACAATGATGTATAGAACAGATTATATGAAAAGAAAGAGAAAAAAAGAATACTGAACATTAATTTATTTCCAATAAATGAGTAATGTATACAATAATATACAATGTGAAATTGCAGTATATTTTCAAATATAATTTATGTATATCGAAACATTCATTATTTCCAAACACCAATTAAATGACAACTAGTATTAAAATTCCTACATAATGTTCACTTAATCATTAATCGTTTAAAACTAAATAAGGAAAATTGATTAAAAGCAGCTTCAGCTATTTCATAAATGTGACACAAAGAAAAAGTTAATCAATAATGGTATTGTTATGGTAATGTTAACTTATTACCATTATAAGTTTTTCAAACTGAAGTGTAATGAAGTTTATTTCACGGTTTCATTTGATAACAGTTTCGATCTTTCACTTTCATTACATATTTCATTTTCAATCAATTCAGTTTCAAACTTACTTGATTTGTTGACAATAAAATTAAATTTTCTTATGAATACTAGTAGCTAAAACAATAATTCAAAAATTCATAGTGATGACCGTATGCTATAAAATCTTATTTTTATACTATTGCGATTAATAAGTATTAGTTGACAAGGGATTCACAATATTATACTACTAAGCCTAACTATCGGAACTAGGCTTATAGGTATAACAAGGCTAAATACTAAATGGAAGTACCTCTTGAGAAACCCGCCATCCTTGCATCGACGAAGCGCCATAAGACAATCTCGGTGACGTCTCATTCGTGGATATTTTCTCAGTAACGGGCTCTGATAGATAAGCGCCCATTTCTTCAAAAATGTAGCTTGATAAATTCTATATGTTTCACAAAAAAAAAATTGGCAAGAAGCTATGTCACCAAAAGAAAAAAAAAGAAAAAATGTCAACAGGTAGATTAAACACAAGCCGTTTTCTTCGCTAAAGTGTAACACAAATCTCGGATCGTTCCACGTGCCCCTTTACGGCGCGCTACCGGCGTGTCAGAAAACCTGAAGTCTGTACTAAAAAAATGTACTAGTAAAAAAAATCAAAACTCATGGAAAACTTACACCAAAAGTATAAAATAGCTGATAAAATATAGTTCTCTTAAAGTGTTTTATGAAATAGATAGTTTTAACATGAGAAAAATTAAATATGTAAACAAAAAAAAGTTAAGCTCATTCACAATGTGTAAGTGTTCAAAATCATACATGTAAAGCTAATTCAAATTGACAATAACATGTTATTCGTAATAAAAAATTAATTTCAAAAACAAAACACCATGCCCACAACGCTCATAATTTTGTCACACCACAGCTTTATAAAGTATCAAAAATCAACAAAGAAAATCAGGAACGGTTCTAGGGTCTTGTTGTTGGAAGAAACAGAGGGGAGAAAGCGAATATGTTTGAGATCGTCGTTGCGGTGATATTTTTAAATATCTCATTGTTAACTTTGTACATTTTTGCCTCCCCCGCCCCGCTAGCGCCGCCCCTGAAGATCTACTGTTTATTGCATCCAATTTAAAATACTTCCAGTATTATTGGCAACATTATAAGACCGTTATCTCGAACTTATAACACACATTCCTTAATGAAATCAATTCATTTCTTAAAGAATATTTCAGTCGTAGCTATCTCTAATAATTTTAATTTGACAAGTTTCGACATCGTTTCACTTTTCACAAAATTTCCAGGTGAAAAGGCTAGACATGTCAGGTCTTGAAATTTAACCAATTAAAACTGTCTTCAACTAAACATCAGTGTAACCATGGAACACTTTACCAAACTCCTATATAATTATCTGAAACCCAGTTATATTCAAAGAAGAAACAAATATTGAAGGCCGTCTGACGGCACTCTTATGGGATCCTGTCTATTACCCATTATTGCAGAAATCTATATTAAACAACTTGACAAAACAACTGTATCAACACCGATACAAATTTCACTGTTTTGGAACAGATATGAAGATGTTTTCGTTTTATGGCCCTTTCACCTGAACAGTCTTCATAATTTGTTTCATCATCTCAAAAACCAAGACCAAGCTATACAGTTCTCTTCAAAAATTAAAATAAATCGTTCCTAGATGTAAAAGTGGCCAAAAATTAATCTCAAACAGGATACACAACATTAGCTTTCTGAAAGAATATACATGCGATCAGATTCTTATACGTCAAACTACCCAATTCCAGTCAAAAGAGGCATTGCAAAATCTCTAGCAACATAAATCAAGAAATCAATGCAACACAAACAAAGCCCTTTCAATATTACAAAAACAAATAAAAAAATAGAAGATACCCTTCATTACAGATAAAATATTTCAAATCAAAACACAAAAAATAAAACCCTTTGACATTAAAACAAATACAAAAATACACCCTGTTCAAAATAAGATGCGCTGGTCAGGAACTCATCTTCAAGATTATGTCAATAATCGATTTTACAAAACAGAACCTTACAATGTAAAATAAGATTTTTGACGTGTTATATTCTTTTCTGTGTGCTCCCAGTCTGTGGACTTATAACCGTGGTGAGCACAGCATATCGTGTAGCTTTCTGCTTAACTACAAACAAGTAAATAAACTCTTTATGCCTATAGCACATCATAAAAATATACCTTTATAGAGCAAAACATATAAAACATATTGAAAGCAGTAGCTATAGATATAAAAGCCACACTATGCTCGTAATACTCCCTTTGATAATACCATTCAAATTTGCTTAGTGGTTTATCTCAAGCAAAAATGTCGAGTTCAAAATCGAGTGGGGAATTTTACAACTTTTTAAATAATTAACTGAGTATCACAGTGGTTATCGACTATCATATGGAAGTCTCACGTTCAAATACTAGTAGAACCAAGATTTTATGTTACTTTTTATTATATTTATTATCACATCTACAACAATATTTTTGAATATTTGGAAACATACGAATACAATTATAGATTTAACCAGGGAAAACATCAAATTACATAATAAACACGAATGAATTTGGGTGTCTAAAACATCTTGTTTGTTTGTAATTAAGCACAAAGCTACACGATGGGCTATCTGTGCTCTGCCCACCACGGGTTTCGAAACCAGGATTCTAGCGTTATAAGTCCGCAGGCATACCGCTGTGCCACTGAGGAGCCTGAAACATCTTAAATATCTTTTGACTCCAATATGTGATGCTGCTGTATATTAATATTGATGTTTTTCAACTTCGGTAAGAATTTTATAAAATGTATAAGCATTTCTTATGAAAAATTATACCTTCTTGTATGTGCCATTCAACATCAAATTCTTTTCCTTTTCCATCACAATTAATAAATCGCAGGGTTAGACACTTGACCATGTAGGAATATTTCTTTGAGACCAACTGTTTTGCATGGTTCAGTCTATAAGGCTTTTATAAAACAGATTTGAACATAACATAAGAATAAATAGAAGTCAAAATTCTTATCAAAGGCCACTTACAGGAGATGACCAAATATACAAAAAATGCCATTTTTCTTAAATACTATAAAAATGATAAACTTTCTTCATACATATATAATTACTATGACATAATTAATTTTTACTAAACATGTTCGTAAAACATTTATTTAGATTTAATTTTCGAAATAAGAATTAATCACCATTTTCCTTCATATGACGGGCATTTAGCTAGTTAACAAAGTAAAATGTAGTAGGACGTAACAAAATCAAAGCTGCTCAATGCTGGACCATGGTATTTCATAAATTAAAGAAAGGACAAAAAAGAAAGAAGAGTACCATCCACTCAATGCTCAGTGATAACTGACGTTCCATCAGAAAGTCCTTGAGAGTGGTGATAGACTTTTTACTGGAGTCAGTGTTCTGCTGTATTATTTCCTTAGCCCTCACCAGGGCCTTATGAGTTTGCAACAACTTGGTTTCAAATCACTGCATCTCCTCCTTTAGTTGTGGGAGGGGGGCTCATTACGCTTCTGCAACCAATCCTCTTCTCTGTTGTATAACGCCCAAGCTTCCATTCTTTTAGTAATTTGACCGTGACAGTGTCACTTCAGGATCAGTATCTGCTGAAATGTTAGTCACTGGTTGATGGTCATTGGTGGGTTCAATGTGAGCTCCAACTTTGATTATCACAAAGTCTGGTCGCAGGATTGTTTGGCTAGTGATGGGTTGGACACTGTTGAAGATGAGGACCCTATAATGATGGTGGCCACTGAATACGTTTGAAGGTTTTTTGGCGATTGTCAAGTCTATCTGCTGCATTGATGGTTGATCATCCAGGTATTGGAAACACTTCTGGCAGCCTAAGCCAAATACTGCACTTCAGATGTGTTGGTCAGCAACTCATTTTCATCCATAGGCTCTGCTGATTTGAAGCTGAGGTGGATCCTTGGGGTCTTGAAGACATCAAGATAAGTCTCCAGTTCACCGAGGGTCTGATTAATTCTCTCCTTTCTAATACTGCAAGGTAAGACATGGTTAGTTAGCAACAAAAACTTAGCTAACTGAACAGAATAGCCATAAGGGTTAAGGACTTGATCTAAAATAAAAGAATCGAGATTGAAAGGTAAGGTCAATCAAATTATGATTGGTCATAAGTTAAGCTAAAAGTGTAGATTTAAAGTTGTAACGACCCAGTTACAACATTTTTCTGGTCTAAAGTTACATAGAACTACAAAACCATAAAACTAATACAGAGTTCAAGTGATATTACTACAGGCTTACATGTACTCACCTGTATATTGCCTGTAGAAAATGTATCCCCTGTATCTGTAAACATCCCAGTCCCTTAGGATTCAATGTGCTGCTTACTGTTAATATTACTATGGCAACATCTAACACAGCTATTTTGTAACCATGCCACATACCCTTCACTGTTGTCTTGTTGTTACTCGAGCAAATCCTGGGTCAAATAGGAAATAAAGTTGGGTGAGGCTGCAGACACTGGTTCCTATACAAATAAGTGAAACAGACTAGCCACCACATGAGCTCTAGGCTATAATGTTTTGACCAATGAAATCTTTTTCAGATACAACTTTAGTATGTACTAGGTGTGATATGAAAGAACTACTGCATGGATGTTACTTTCATCCGCTTGCTGTATACTCACAGTGTGCATTTTCATGCATTTCAATTGAATCTTTTACTTAAAAAATGCCAAGAAATGGTTTAGTAAACTGTGTACTTAGGAAATATTTAATTTTACACCATTGAAAATATTCTATCATAATCATATAAAACACTGGGCACACCAAATTTACATTTGGCATGATACTTAAGCTATTATTTTTCAATTAAATTATCTGGAACATTGTCTCACCAGCATTAATGAAATATCAGGTGCACTACAGATCAGTTATCACAGTTTACTTAATATCTTATGTCGTTTTTTGGCAGCTGTGTTTTCAGTGTAATTGATGCATTTGTGCTATACAATACTCACGAATAACTTTATTCAACTCTATATACATGTGCGACATCACATACATATACTTATTTATATTAATACATGTATATTTTCATTTGTATTTTATAAGGTATACTAGTAGCTCATACACTGTTACCATACTATGGTTTGATAGCTGTGGTACCATAATGTGCTGCCATCTACGAGAATTACACTCACTATATCTTCTTGGCATCTCAAAATAAATAATCAATGGCATAAATCAGCTAAAAATTATTTTAGTCAGGATTAAGGCGCATTCTATCATTACACCATATATATCAATGCATACTCAGATCAACCTAGGCTAAATACAATATTTTGCAATAAAATAAATTTAATGTCCGAGAAAGCTGCCAACAACTGTAGCCAAACTATCAAGTTAGTGTATTGCCCTTTGCGAGTTGATCTATTTATGGGTCGAGAGCAGCTCAGTGGTTAGTATGCCAGACTATGGATCCGAAATTCATGCCTCATTACTGCAAAATATATTGCACTCCACACTTTGGGCTCATTGGTGCATTATGTGAATGACATTCA